AGAGAGAGAGAGAGAGAGAGAGAGAGAGAGAGAGAGAGAGAGAGAGAGAGAGAGAGAGAGAGAGATGAGTTCAATGATGATATCTGAAGGAGAGAGAGAGAGAGAGAGAGAGAGAGAGAGATGAGTTCAATGATGATATCTGAAGGCCATGGCCCGGGGGAGAGAGAGAGAGAGATACACACGTGCAATATTAGACAAAATGTGTGAGGCTTTACTTTCACAGAATACACATCATGTCCATGGCAACCGGCAGATCCTGTCGCAATTACCCTTCTACCTCTCTGCTCAGGTAATCTTTCCAGCCATTGTCCCTAATACTTATAGCTATGTCCAAATATTTCAGTCCTGCTGAACACTGCCCCTGCAGTCTCCTCGTCTCTCGTGTGATCGTTGCCGTTGATCAACCATCCTGTATCGGTGCTGAACCCCGACTGTGTCGAGTAGTATGTCGTCCTTGCATTCGTCTTTTTCTTTTTTTTTTTTTTTTTTGGGAGAACAATCTCCGGAGGCACAGCTTGAGATGCTGGTTGGAGCAGACATCTCAAGCTACTCTCAGGGAGGCTCACCGGCTGGGAAACGGCCCCAATGTCCCCTTTAACAAGTTTCGGGAAACGAACGACATCGGTTCCGACTCCGACGAAAATACGTGAAGTGTCTGTTTACTTGTCCACCGTCCGAATTCGATTTGCATTCCACAGAAATACGTGAAGTGTCCATCTATTCTCTACCACCTGAGACCGCTCTAGTACCCAAATCATAAAGTACTGGGGTGACGACTTCCACCTCCGTGGCGACCGTTCTAGTACCCAAAAAAAAAGCAATCACGCACCGCACATAGACTGACATAGTGGCCAGACACATTCCTCAAAGCACTGGGGTGACGACTTCCACCTCCGTGAGGAACGGTCGCCAGGCAGAAACTCAAAGGAATTGACGGGGGCCTGCACAAGCGGTGGAGCATGTGGTTTAATTCGATACAACGCGCAAAACCTTACCAGCCCTTGACATATGAAAGAAACTCCTCGTAAGAGATGTACTTTGACTTCATACAGGTGCTGCATGGCTTTACGATCTCTTTGAATGGGTCCCACATGTGTGTAAACATTCCAAACCACTTCTAAATAATGAGCTAAAAGTTTCACAGAATCTTCGTCAAAACCATCAGTACATAAGACTCCCTTTCGCCCTAGTGAAATAATTGACCCATCATCTAACCACCAGATAGCTAATGAGAATGGTGTGAGATGATTCAACCATCGACGTCAAATAGCTAATTTATTTTTGTCATCCCCCAACATCAGAGTTCTTTTTTTTTCTTTTCTTTTTTTGTGTTTCTTTTTCTCATTTTCTTTTTGTCGGCCTCCAACCCTTCCAAGAGCCCCCCCGACTTCTTCGGAGTAGGCTATTTTTGAGACTTAGCATCCTAGTGAGAAAGGTAGGGGGAAAAAAAAAGAAACAGTTTAAAAAAGCGACCTTGCCTCTGTACTCCACATATCGAAACCACTTGTTCCCAGGAATTTCCATGCGACATTCCTTGACATACAAGCACCCAAAAAAAAAAAAAAAAAAAAGGCATACAAGCACCCAAGACAGATGATTGGATGATCCCACAATTCTG